ATATATATATATATATATATATATATATATATATACCACAGTTGATGTACTACAGTTGATTGTTATATATATATATATATAACAATTTACTAAGGATTACTGGATATTTTAAACCCATTGTATATCCTAATGGACAGACATCAGCTTAAGACAATTGACACTTTAACTAGTGAGTGCAATGCCCCTTTCTTCATACAATCTAAGGGATATTGACAAACATTTCAATAAATCTGAATACAAGCATTGTAAATGTGGCTTACGCCTGTGTCTAGAGTGAAGTGATGCCATCCTGCTTTTCAGTCTGGTGGATTTTTTTCAAATTACAACATGCAGAGCCTTACCGCCATCTGATTGGATGACAATCGTCCACTCTCATGGACTGCAAACTATAAAATAAATGAAATGCTCAGGAACCACAAAAAAACATGGGCTGACATGTATTGTCTATTGTAATGGACACAGGGTTCGAAGGGGCTAGACTAACCTCACAGCACAATATAATTATTAATATATTACACATCGTCAGAAAAGTGGCTAATTGGTACAAATTCATACTCTTACATTTCTTGTGATGTTTTTAATTTAATTTATAATTCTCAGATTCATGCATTTCTGCCAGGGCAATGCAGCTCATTCAGTTGGCATAAAGACTTGTATGGGCATGAATATGATTTCCATGATTCAGCCGTCCTGACAAGACCTAAGAGTGCTATAAAGCCCTATAAGACCTCCCAGAACAGTGACCACATCCAAGCCAGGGTAAGAAAACAGGACAGAGAGAAAAAAGAGAGAGAGAGAGAGAGATGTTTTGAGAGGATTTCATATAGCAACACAAAAGCCCAAGGCTGTTCTGTGTGTCTGTGTAAGTGAGATAGGATGTTTGGATGCTCGCTCTGTTCCCTGTCTCGCTTTTTTGGATAAGTGTGTGTGTGTGTGTGTGTGTGTGTGTGTGTGTGTGTGTGTGTGTGTCACAAAGAGAGAGAGTTTTTGTTGTGGGTTGCAGTTTGTCACATAAGCTCAAGAAGTTGTATTCTCCTTCAGACAGTTACCAGAAAGTTTTTTTTTTCTTCTTCTTTTTTAAGTGGCAGTGTGTGTTTTCCTGGGCCTGGCACAAGTATACACACACACACACACACACACACACACAAAAAAGATAATTTGACTTTACTTAAAATAAGTGATTACAGTGAAAAAAAATGCTTCTTTAGATTTACAAATGTTGTTAAGGTACTGTTTCAAACTATTTATATGGGCCTAATTAAAGCTAAACTAAAATGTTCAACTTAATTATAATTCAACCATTGTAAACTGTTTGCAACCCCTTACCCTAAAGTAAAATAAATCTAATGAGTCATTATTTTTAGTGTAGTTGGATTTAATTAAAGGCGGTAAACCTGTTGGCTTAAAATTTTTAAGTAAGCCTAAATGAACTATGTGTATAATTGTTAAAATTAAGTTAAAACAACGCTACAAGTTTCAGTGGGTTTATTCACATTTTAAAGTAAAGTCACTTTCAGAAAAGCCGTCGATATGGAGGTAAGAATGTCAGCAGTAGCGCACTTTAGCATTCATTTTACACACAAAATGCAGCCATATGTACTAGTGATTTGTTGGAAGTGGTGGATTTAGGCTTGGGCAGAGATGGAAAGAGTACTAAAAAACCATTCTTAAGTAAAATTACGATTACTTGTAAATACTACTCAAAATATGAGTAAAAAATATAGCCCTAAAAGTACTAAATAGTTGTGAGTACACTGTGAAAGATGATGCGTTTCCATGGGTGTTGTACAGGGATATTTAACGTAACATTCTGTAGTGCATTTAGTGATCTTTCTATATTAATTCGTACTGTATGTGTTCATTTGTTCTTATATTCATTCATACGCCCAATTCACAGAGATTCACCATCAACGGTTGACAGAAGGTGTGTCTGAAGTTGGAGTTGACATGATCATCATAGCAGCATCAGTCAATGAAATAAGCATTTGCATAAAGTGATTTGATTGGCTGACACTTCCATTGGCACTTGAAAATTTGAGAAATTCCCAACTTCTGCAGAGAGCAATGTCGCTGAAGCGGTGCTGATGGATCCACAATTACGTTTGGCAATGCTTGACTTCACACATTCAAAGTAAATGGGAAGTGTTGACACTGACGCCCCACCCTGTGTGAATGTTGCCTAAGCATGGCTATGAAGAAGAAAGGAGGGATAATGAGTCACAGAGGTAAGACTTAATATCATTAATTCTTGACCATGAGTCGGGTCTAAGACAATAGATAATTATATAAAACCTATTTTTTGTATATCATTAACATTCATGCAGACGATTTCTTAAGTGATCTTTGCATATCACTCCAGTTGTGTCTTTAGATTTTTTTTCCAGTTACATTTAACAGAATTCTGGTATTGATTTAGAATAATAATTGTATAATAATATTAATACTAATAATATGAAAAATAATTTTAGGGGTTAGCACTGTCGCCTCACAGCAAGAAGGTCGCTGGTTTGAGTCCCGGCTGGGTCAGTTGGCATTTCAGTGTGGACTTTTCTCCCATATTCACATGGGTTTCCTCCAGGTGCTCTGGTTTCCCCCCACAGTCCAAAGACATGCGGTACAGGTGAACTGAATAAGCTAAATTGTCCATAGCATATGAGTGTAAATGAGATTGTATGGATGTTTTCCAGTACTGGATTGTAGCTGGAAGGGCATCCACTGTGTAAAACATATGCTGGATGAGTTGGCGGTTTATTCCGCTGTGGCAACCCCGGATTAATAAACGGACTGAGCCGAAAAGAGAATGAATGAATGAATGAATGAAGTTGTTATATTTCTTGAAAATAAATACAGCAAATATATTTTTACTTATATGGTGTATATGGTGGTTCACCCAGGATGCCATTTAAACTAGAACCACCACGCTTTGTTGTTTCTCAAAAATGTAAACCTGGACACATTTTCCCAATTTGTTTTTTTTTTTACACTGGAATTTTAGTTTTTTTTTATTTACAGTATATATAATGTCATGTTAGATTTAATACAGTTTTTCAGTATATATATAGTTAGGAAACTTAATGTGAATAATTACCATTAGCTTTTTTACTTCAATGTGACTCACTTATGGACATGATAGGAGAAAGACTTTTTATCATTAAATAAGAGCTTCAACTGTTCCATGGAATGAGCATATTGTTGGAGTATGATGTCTGGATACACCCATCCTAATCATTTATAGCAATAAGTGGTCATGATTTTTTTTCTCTCATCCTTCAGGAATTTGTTGTGGTTTGTAGTGTTGTCCTGTCTTTATTTAAAACGGATCATTTTAAGCCATTTTAGATCAACAGTTATGTCAGCTGATGTCTTTAGAATTTGCCTGTAGGATTAAAATATTTTCCGCTTTTTTTCCATGATTTTAATCACCAATTTGAATCCTTAATTTTTGAAGAAACCAAATTTTCAGAATAATATTAAAGTATTGTAGGTTTCTTTTCGTTTCTTTTCTATTATTTTCTTTTCTTTTCTTTCTTTCTTTCTTTCTTTCTTTCTTTCTTTCTTTCTTTCTCTCTTTCTTTCTTTCTTTCTTTCTTTGACTTTGGGTTCATCCATGGTCATGTGCTTTTGTCCATTACATAAAAAGGTAATACCAAGATTACACGCTAATAAACTGCTTTGAAAAACTGTTTTAGAACTTTTACAACATTTTGGCTATATCAACTCTTCATCAGGCACAAACCTAGTGGGATAGATTACAGTTCTTGATAGACAAAAGACGATCTAGTTAAATTGATGATTAAATGAATAACATTTACTTTATGGAATAGAAATACATACTAATATCAGCAATTACATATAACCTCAATCACGTAAATATAAATAATTACCATAAAAAAATGCAAATACAGCTTTACAATTTCACCTTTTTTGTCTTTGATGGGTGTTTATTGCATTTTGTAGTAGTGTCCTGTTTCTTGGTTGGTCACAGGGTTTCCCTTTATCCCATGTTATCCTGACAAGTCATGTCAGATCAGTCGTATTTATGAGTTAAATGCAAATGAGCGTCACCACAAAGGCAATATTACAAGAGGGAAACTACATTTTGTTAACTGAGTTGGGGCATGGCAGTAAGAAACATGGCAGTAATACTGATTTATAATAAAGAATTAAATGTACTTTTATGTATCTCATTATACATAGGTCAGTAGGCAGAGTTTGTGGATAAAAGGTCAACTCTTGTGGGTTGTCAGTGACAAAATACAATTGATAATTAGTTTTCTATAAGCAGAGTTAACAAACCCAGCTTTATTTTCTTGTAATTTATCAAAAGTAGAGACAATTCCATTTTGTGGTGACCAAAATGACTTGAACGCACCATATGTGTCATGTTATGTTTGGCTTTGTCATCTGTTGTGTTTCCTTTTGGTTAGTTTGTGCCATGAGACCTGTATTGGTTGATATTCATAGACCTCATATTGCCTTTGTCCTTGTTGAGTGTTTTTATGGGAACAATGTAAACTGTAGTTTAGTTTAATTTAATTAGTTCTTTGTGGTTTAATACTCATTTTAATTGCTTTAGGACTGTTTTGTTGCTATGGCTCATTCTGAACGTACCCCATATACATTTCTGGAGAGCGCCAAATATGTTCCAGGAGCTATGCTTTTTGGTAGTTTTTGTTTCCACGAATCCTTTGTTGGTCGTTGTGTACACTTTTTCAGATCTCAGATTTCTTTAGCAAGTGCCATTCGCACTTGTTCCACCAGAGGCCACTGTCGACTGACTGTTTGACTGACTGACTAATCGACTGACCCACCCTCCTCCTTCCCTAAACCTAAACAATAGTGTTTATAAAAGCACCAATTGGCCAGCAAAGACCCACATACCTAAACCTAACCGTGGTTTCAAAAGCAATAAAAAAAGAAAAACCCTGATTTTTACCACATTCTCACCCTGTTATTTACTTGTTTATTTTACTTTTTGGCTTTTTGTTTTTGTCTTATAGGCTTTCTGGAACTGTTGTTCACCAGACTCGAACCCCATCATTGCAGTTTACTCCCTTCTACGTCACAAGTCAGCCAACGTTTTCGGCGAGCTACTGGACAAACTGGTAACAGTGGGAAAGCCGTCCATACGAAGGTAAGCGGTCAGCTGTCAAGAGCAAAAAGGAACAACGTCATACCACCCTGTATCATTCAGTTTAAATAATAGATTTTTTGAACAATTATAATTTTATTAGGATCATATGACACTGAAGAGTGAAATGAATTACTTGTTTTATCATAATAGTTTGCAATATTAACATTTTACTCAATTAGTGATACAATAAACTGGTGAACAGAGAATGTTTAATATTTTATCAATCTTACTGCATTGTTTACATTTCACAGTATACTAATGATTTTATATAATGTTTTCATTTTGTTGTCATTATCATATCCAAAACAAAAGGCTCATAGTCAGCAGATTTATTTTCTGTAACTTTAGATGAAGATATAATGGTAATGTGTGCTACAGTGTATGTTTATCCCACAATTTCCACTTTTTCATCCGCAATCTGATTTCGATCTGAAGGCAGACAGGCCCACATTTTCCCTGTCAAAACAGATGAACTATGAGCCGCAGAATGGGTGAACTCAGAGGTCGCTTACAAGTTGCTTTCTGATTAGTTTCGCATATGAGCCTTCAGTGAGAAAAAAACCCAGACTTCAGCAAAATCTGTGTATATCTGAACTCTAGCGACCCGCATGATGTCATCAGACTGTGAGAACACTCAATATCAAAGTCTTCTTTGGTTTTTTGGAGATGTTGACAGTTTATTACAAATGACAAGTGCCATCTACACTGCACACTTAATCGCTTGCAAATTTCCTAGCATTCTGTGAGCTGTAATGTCACTCTGAAGTCAATAAATTCTGGGTAACTCTTTATTTAAAGGGAGTGCACCTTTATAGTCATGCTTATGACAACAGTGTTATTTGCTCAGTTATGTCATTTTAAATGCAATGGTGACATTGTTTGAGATGTTTTTGTCATGACAACTTAGGACTACTTAGATAACAAAACTTATCATAAATCTGTCATAAACATGATTATCATGAGGCCATTATAAATGTGTCATGAATGTTTTTCTGATAATTTTTTTCAGTAAAACAAAAAAAAAATGTATTAGTCCTTCAAATTTCTCCCAGGCTCATTCTGAAAACGTACCTCTATATACATTTCTGGAGAGCGCCAAATATGTCCCAGGAGCTACGTTTTTTGCAGTTTTTTTTTTTCGCAAATCCACCAGAGTCCGCTGTGTACGCTTTTTGAGAATTCAAATTTCTCTCACCAAGTGCCATTCGCGCCTGCTGTTCTCACATAAATCCACCAGAGGCCGCTGTCGACTGACTGTTTGACTGACTAAATTAATAATGTTTTCAAAAGCACAAATTGACCCACCCACCCACTTTCCTAAACCCAACAGACAGTTTTCAAAAGCAATCCAGAAAAAGAAAAGCCCTCGTCTGATTTTTACCAAGTTTTTAGATTTTATGACATTTTCACCCTGTCGTTTACTTCTTTATTGTATTTTTTGGCTTTTGTTTTTGTCCTACCCACTTACAATTCTTCACTAGAATCAAACCCTGTCATCGTGGTCATTTCCTCTCTGCGTCTCAAGTCCACCGACCTACTGTAGGCTAAGCGTGAAATGAAATGGCGTCATATACCCCACCATAGCATTTGTTTAAAAAACTAAATGCAACCATACGTACTTCTGGCTACATAAATTGCGATCTCCAGAAACATATATAGGGCTACATTTTCAGAATAATCTATGTTGGATATTTAATGACATTTTAATGACAAAATTGGTTTGTACCACTGTGTTTGAAGTCAAGAAGGTTAATAAAGATGCTGTTATGAAACTAATGACACCATTATAATTGCCTCATGACTGGATGTGAATTACAGGGGGTGTTTGGTGGTTATTGACCCCCTATTTAACAATTGTTTCCCTCTGAAGGACTTTAAAGATGTGGGGGTGGGTCAGCACATTATATAATGAGAAATAGTTTATATAGTATACTACTACTACTACTACTACTAATAATAATAATAATAATAATAATAATAATAATAACAAGGATGATGATGATGATAATAATAATAATAATAATAATAATAATAATAATAATAATAATAATAATAATAAAATTATTATTATTATTATTATTATTATTAAACTAATTAATATACATTTGACCACCCCATAACGGTTTATATGGTTTTATGAATGCATAATTGTGCCACTCAGTCTATGCAAAAAAACAAACATTCAACAGTCTGACATTTGTACAGTAGATCTAGAGCACTCGTAAACTCTGTGTGCACAACAAACATTAGTTACACTTTGGTTTACGTATTCAAGGTAATTCATGCTGTAAACTACTGGCTTATTACCTGTCTATTAACAAGATATTAACTGTTCATTAGTTGTTGAATGTAAAGGATGATAAAAGTATGATCTTTATCTGCAGATCCTAAAATCGCTATCCTACTCAAAGCCTGAACCCAATTTCTTACTATCAATGAACGAACAGATAATAAGTAGTTTATTAAGCCAGTAGTGCTAGTTAATGGCTTGTTAATACCACAAATTATGAACTAAACTACAGTTTTACTGACACTTTTCTTGTAAAATAGCTGTTTGTGTCTACATTTAGCCTATAAGTAAAGTAAAACTATTAGCTAATCAGAGATTTTTGTTGGTCAGAATACACCACACATCTCTTAAAACACTGAAAATTTGAATACTTAATTGCATCTTGCTTATGACAATCATGTTTATGCCAGATTTATGACAAGTTACAGTATGTTGTCATGTACAGTATAATGACTAAGACATCTCAAACAATGTCACTTTTTCATTTTCATTGATGCAACTTACACTTAATGTCAGTTGTCATACGCACGCATAAACGCTAATTCATATTCATAACATATCCTGTCATGTTTATAAATATTTCATGACTACATATGTCAATGAATACCCCCTTCAAATAAAGTGTTACCAAATTCTGCCCCAGTAGCAGCAGGATCAGATTAGCTGAGCTCATGCTACAGGTTAAGTCAATGTCAAGGCCATTTTTAAAAAGAGAAGAAAAATAATCCTGTATGTGGGCACCAAAATTACACACCTCACCTTTTTTATTTAGCTTTCAAATGGAAGCTCATGCCTGAGCTGAACTCCAGCTATGAGACAAGATTCGTGATGGCAATGAATCATCTTTCCGTTTTAATTAAAACTCTCTGCGCTCAAATGACACAGCATCCATCTCACGAACATTGTCACATATATGATTATGACAGACTCCGCTGGATTGCAGCATGCAGTTTTCCTTCGCTCTTTATGAGACAAAGCAATATAAATCCCTTCAATAGACAAAATAACAGCATCCTCTTCACTCTTCTTCTTTCCTTGCTCGACAGAAGAAAACATATGTGACAAATGATAAAGAACTAATGGAAAACCGGGAACGTAAAGGCTCTTTTGGGGCCTCATATGACCTTCTGCTGATGTGGATATATAGATCATTTTGGTTTGGCTTTGTTTTGTGGAGAAAAACCTCACTTTACACAAAGGCTGGTGAAAAATATGAGTTTTGTCCTTGATGTTTCGTAACTACAACTTTCTTTGTTGAAAACATCCATTATTTTCTGTGTTCCAAAACCCGAATTATACATCTGAACGAAATGTTGTTTATTTCAGGGTCTTTGCAAGGCGATGGATAGTTGTTCTGGGCTGCGAGACAAAAAAGGCTGAACCTTGTAGACCAATCGGCTGCTAGCATAAAACTGGTTCCCTCGATAAGATCCTTATAGGATTTTCCCATAGGCTTTTTGGAAATTGTAAATAATAAACTCTCTGTTTAACCCTTACAAGAAAATACATCTTTTAGCAATTCTGGATCTTAAGTGCAAACACAGGAATTGAAAAGCTAACATTAGGCTATAAGGGGACTACAGTGCTCGCCTGTGACGTCAGCATCACCCCGCTACAGACACTTTTCTAGCTTATTTTTAGTAGTCCATGACAAAGATTTACTCTCTCGGTTTATTATATTATAATCCATGCTATTTATTATAAACAAATTAATATGCAAAAACACATCTGTACAGAACTACGTGCCTTTTAGAAATACAGTTTTGAAATACATTTTGTTTTGCTTTACGGTTGTTGTAAAAGTTTTAAAACTGTATGTATACATTTGCCGACATAGTATTATCATGGGACATATTGAAATAAGTGTATCGCTCACATGCATACAACTGCTTACCTTAGTAATAGCTGACGAAAATGAGGCGTGAGGGACAGGTCTATATGCCTGCAAGTTCCATCATGGGCACACATTAAATAATCTTTTTTTTTTTTTTGTCACGAGGTACAGCGAAAAGCAGCCCAGTCACATATGCTAAACACATAATGAGGAGTGTCAGTTTTGCAGTTTTGACCGAATTAAATATTCAGATGAAGAAAAAACTGTGAAAAATCAGTTGATCACGTTAAAAGGACAGTTAATATGTTTGTATTTATACTAATTTATTCAAACATTTGCATAAATGAGAGCAAGAAAGAGACAAGCTGCACTCGCAAGTGAGCTGCGGTCCAGACCAGTTGATGATGTATAATGACTCCGAGATCGCCTGTTGTCCCATTGAGCAACTTGATAGCAACCATCTTTTTAAAGAAGCATAACTAGTTTAAAAAATCAAGAAAGGAATGTAACTGATGTGTATTATGTCTTAGAATAAAACGTGAAAGAATCTTGAGTTTGTTGTAGCCACAAACCTTATTTAAGCGATTAAATCAAAATCCCATTGAAAAAACCCATTGACTTTGGGACGAAGGAACCGAAACTGCTAAAATGCAAACTCGCTTTTGAGTTTTTGCTTACAAATTGAAGTCCTAGTTAGCCCACTCTATAGTCTACTAACAGTATTTGCAACACAGGTTCATTAAAAATGCTTGCTCGAGCCTATATTTTTGAGAAACCACAAAAGCATACGTTTGACTGCAGTTTCTAGGTAAAATATATGCTACAGGCACAGTATGATGCTAACAACTTTTGTTTCTTTTCACACTCATGATATTT